CACACACACACACACACACACACACACACACACACACACACACACACACACCTTCCTTTCTCCTAAATAAAAAGCAAACACAAAAAACCCAACAACCCCCCCTCCCCCCACTCGTCAGCCGTGCCACTAGTCTTTATTTTTCAGCGATACGGGGACAAAATTGCGATATCCCACGCGAATTGGATTTGCGCGAGAGCTCGTAACGCCCACGACATGTCACAACAGTTGAAACAAAAGACATTGATTAAAGTTTAGCTGAACGCCTCTTCAAACACCGTGTACATCGAGGGAGAGTAAAATCTTCGAATTAGCGTAATGTGATGCATCGACGTGACAGGACAGGGAGCTCTCTAAAACTCCATTAATAAAATAGGCGCACACGCTGATTTGTACAGATTGCAATGGCCACATTTCATATAAAAAAACACGATAGAGAACCTTAAGAATATCTCTGCTGCAATTAGGGTTGCCCCATCAAAACATCTGTGACTGAAGCCTCTGCGTTCCCCCATTCCAAACCACAATGAAAGAGAAAAGTCACTGTCCCACTTTCCAGAAAAACAAACTAAAATGTCATAAGAAAAAAAAAGTATAGAACCCCCCAAAAAAAAAAAAAAAAAAAAAAGAGAAACAGAACCCCCCCCCCCCCCCACCCCGAATTAAAAAACACAAAAACACTACATGTATACAACTAACCAGCCACCAAAATCACCCAACCTCACCTTAACAAGAACCAACAAACGATCAAACAAATAATCGACACTCCCGCTTCCACTCCGATTCCCACTCTCGTAAAAAGGATACGAAACAGGTGGGCGGTACTACGATGGATGCACCCCCCCCCCCCTACCCCTCACACACAGACCCGAGACAAACTCCTCGATCACTAAGCAGTGGTACATGTATTATGCAAGAACCACCTCGTAGATTAGACTTTTTGGAAGGAGGGCGGGGCTGGAAGGAAGCGGTTTGAAGAAACAGGGTAATTTTCACACATGAATGGTGGAACACAGCAGTCGGAATAATTTGAAGCCCCAAGGGTGGCGTACAATATACAGAACATTCCACATCTCGAGTGGGCACTGGGCCCAGGGTCGCCCCCACGCCGGTCAGATATTTAAGTGCTCTGCCGTCGCACCATCTGCGTGCCAATCAACGTAAAGGAAGTTTTTATGCATACCCGCAGACCCTTTGGGGCAAAAGATGTAAATAACCAATTAACTATCTGCACTTCGAAAGTAAAATGGGTGAGTGTGTGTGTGTGTGTGT